GTTGCAAGCTTGATCCCCAGTAGGGGGCGTGCAGGAGGCAGCCAGTCAATAATTCTCCCATCATTGATGTTTCTATCTTTCTCTCCCTCTCCCTTCCTCTCTGAAATCAATAAAATATACTTTTTTTAAATGAGTAATCAAAAAACCCCAACATTATCAGGTTTTGTGATCCTGACAATAACAAATGCAGTTGCTCTCATCCCTTTTAATGTTCTGAATCCAAACCAAATCCTGTAGCGAGCCCCTGGAAAAGTAGGAAGGGAGGAGGCCCAGAGGAAGGGGCAGAGCAGTCAGAAACACTCCATCTTCGGGTCCTGTTGAATGTTCTTTTCCTGGGTTAGTTCACCATTTGAGCGTCTCCTCCCCTGTGAGGTGCAGAGTTCCTTCCGGAGGCTGCGCGTGGGGGCTGCTCACCTCGTTCTAAGCTGTACGGCGGAGCAACATGGAAGAAGGAACAGTTGTTCTGCTTGACTTGCATTTGTGGTGTATCTTTCGCATTTGCTCCCTCCCGTTCCTGGACCAGTGGGTGCTTCACAAATACCTTTATGCTTGTTTGTGATCTTTACACAGAAAATTATGCATGATGCCATTGGATTCAAGAGTACTTTAACTGGCAAGAACTACACAGTGGAATGGTATGAACTTTTCCAACTTGGAAACTGCACGTTTCCCCATCTCCGACCTGAAATGAATGCCCCGTTCTGGTGTAACCAAGGAGCTGCCTGCTTTTTTGAAGGAATCGATGATGGTCACTGGAAGGAAAATGGGACGTTAGTTCAAGTAGCAACCATATCAGGTAAGTTAAAAAAAAAAAAGGCGGCATTATTCGATGATTGCATCAATATCTACCTGATAGAAGTTTTTTTCATTGAGGCATTTCAGTAATGTCTTACTTTATAGAGGTCAATTTATAAAATGTACTTTTGGAACTACTAACCTTTGACCCAAACCATTACTCATGCAAAACTTCAACTCTTAAGTGATGACTAGCTTATCTCCTTTATTCCCATGGTAAAAATAAATGACATGATAAAACACTTTGCACAATTTAATTGGACTTCTTAAATAATAGAGGGAAATACATAAAATGCCTGAAAAAAATAATTCATTAAAGGACCTGTTAACTGTATCTGGGAAGAGGCTTTTAGTGATGATACATTAAAATAATAATAACCACCACTCATGTTCTGAGTACTTTACATATACCGCAGTATTTATAATCACAGGATCCCCCTGAGAGAGTTGCTATTATTTTCCCCACTTTACAGATAGGTTTGAAATCGAGTCACAATGAGATAAAAGTCCCACAACTAAGGACATGGGACTGCAAACTTGGCAGTAAAGCCTTATTAACTCCTTTCTTAACTACTTTGTACATGGCCTCCTAAAACATATGATCTCACACATTTGAGGCCTCTTGAGCAATTTAAATATTTCCTCTCTCAGATTTTCTGTTCTCGCATGTATTTGAAAGTTGCTGAAACAGTTGGAATTTTGCTGCACGTGTGTTGCATTTAGTTAGTGATAAAGAAAGGAGTTCGGCAGAATTTGTATAGGAAACTGGTCACATTTTATCTTGTTGACTCATTGCTTCGAGTGTAGAATAAGGATGAGGCTTTCAGAGGCAGGGAGCTTGCCCTTATCAGTTATAGAACTCTACATTATAAATTGTTGTTCTCCACAAAAGTGGAAATAACAAAACCACTGTTTGTTATAAGAATTATTCAATGAGCTACAGGACTTGAGGAAATTATCATGCTTTCCGCTTGTACAGCTCTTTACAGAGCATTTGGATTGTTCAGTGGGGAGGTAAGCTACTCTTTTTGCAAATAAGGAATTAAGGTTCAGCCAGGTGGCATGACTTACCTGTCTTTTAAGGTCACAGAGCTTAATGTAGAACCAGGAATAGAATTGGTGTCTCTTACATGTCATCTGAGGATATTTTAACTATATGCCGTGCTATTTTCTAATCTTGCTTTCAACTATATACTATGCTGTTTTCTACTTTCTAATTGCTATAAACCATCCCAATAATATAAAGGTCCATTTCTTTTTTAACACTGATCGGTCTAATACATAGCTACTCTTTCTTTCATTCTAGGTCAGTTCACATCTCTCCTTTCTCATTTCCTCCCACCTCATCTGAAAATTCTTCCTCCTGACATAAATATATGATCATGTGAACAAGAGATCACTATTTCCTGGAAAATATTTTGTAATATGCCACTTCTTAAGTCTTTTAAGTTATCCATCTGTTTTGTGATTAATCCTATCCATTGGCCTTTTCTCATGTTACAAAACAGTGTTTCAAAAGATGCTTATCTTCTAATTACAGCACCAGCTTTTCAAAGTTGAAGAACACTAAGAACAGTATCTCCAGTTTTAAGAAAACAGGTTTTATATTACTCCACAATTTTAACTCTATAAAATTGATAAAACAGACATTCTATTTTATAGCATGAAGTACTATTTTACAGACTCAAGTTGGAGTAATCTAAGAAGCATCCATAGTGACAGAGTGAAATGTTGGGGCCCAGATGCTTGTAAACCTGCAGAGCGCAGTGTTTTGTTACCGTGAAGAGGCTCTTGTGCTCTGGTACAAGGTGGTAGGAGAGACTGTTAGCCATCCAGGAGTCCATATAGTCTACACTTGGCCAAAAACATTTCCAGTTTTAGTTGATTTATTGGGAGAATTTATGTGGTGGGTAGGAAGGTTCTAAGCAGAATCTCAACAGCTGCAAGTGCAGGAAGACAGGGAAATACCAAATGTTCTAGGCGGGTGGGCGCTAAGTGCATCCTTTCTCACGCTGGAAGGCCAGCCTTCTCTAGCTATTCCTCAGGAGCCGTTCAGACGGCACACATGCCCTGCTTTGTGACGGAGCTCCGCATCTCACCCTCCTCAGCTCTCCTTGGACTCTTCACCCCTTCCACTCTTTCCTCTTACACCATGTCCCCCTGCTTTCTTTTTCTCTTTTGCCTCTGAATACAAGGTTTGTTGAGAGGGGTAAAGAAAGACAGCTTCTGTATGTGTATAGTTTTGCTTTTGATTATAGCTTAAATGACTATAAAATTAGTATATGTAAAACTCATCTTTATACAGCCCATCACATCTAATGTTTACAATTAAGAAATATCTAGTCCCTTGAACATGGAATAAAAACTGGCTGAGCTTGAATTCCTATTGTGAGATACAGGTTTGGAAATTCAAAAAAACTCTTGTTTATGTATGTATTATACATCTATAGCCTGAATCTGGTTAGAACATTTGGTTTAACACTAACATGATTAATTTTGATATTCACATAGTGATTTTTCCCCCCCACTAGGAAACATGTTTAACAAAATGGCACAGTGGGTCAAACAGGACAATGAAACAGGGATTTATTACGAGACATGGACTGTCCAAGCCAGTCCAGAAAAAGGGGCAGAGACATGGTTTGAATCCTACGACTGTTCCAAATTCGTGCTAAGGACATATAAGAAGTTGGCTGAACTTGGAGCAGAGTTCAAGAAGATACAAACCAACTACACAAGAATATTTCTTTACAGTGGAGAACCTACCTTTTTGGGAAATGAAACATCTGTTTTTGGGCCAACTGGAAATGAGACTCTTGCTTTAGCCATAAAGAAGTTTTATTACCCCTTCAAACCACATTTGTCAACTAAAGAATTTCTCTTGAGTCTCTTGAAAATTTTTGATGCAGTGATTATACACAGACAGTTCTATTTGTTTTATAATTTTGAATATTGGTTTTTACCTATGAAGTTTCCTTTTATTCAGATAACATATGAAGAAATCCCTTTACCTAACAGAACCAACACAATCTCTGGTTTATAAAATCTTTATTCCTCTGATTTGTATCCTTCCACCAGCAGCATATCAGTTTTTTCATGGAGTTGTTTTCCATTTGTGTATTTTTTTAGGCCTTTCTTCCTTGGGGCAGAAAGGTGAAATGCACACGGGCAGAATTGCTGCATCATAGTATCTCAGGAATTTTTTTTTGAAAGAAGCTGAAACTCTAATAGTGTTGGCCAAAGTGGGCACATTACTTTGATCTTGACTTCAATCTATGAACCCTTTATCAATATGGAGAATTACAGTTTATATCAGCTACATAGGCTCTGTAGACCCTACATTTTAAAATCATGAATACAGTGTACCAAGATTTTAAAATTAGCCCCAGTGACACTTTCATGGTAGGAGCTATTTTCTTCTGGGATGGTAGTTACCCTTTTCCACTTAAGTATTCTTCGGTATAGACTGACTTCACAGCTCTTGCAGCTTTTGGAACTGCTCTGTTAGTTTGATTTTGTTCTGTCCACTTAAGTCTGAAGACTAATTTGGACACCATATGTAGAGTGGCTATGGTTCCAGATGAAAAAGAGCACAAGTGTTTGGCTAGTATTTTAGAACTAGCTAGTCACTGGCATTGTGTGATATAAGCAACTTACTACCTTTGAACCTTAGTTTCCTTAGCTCTAAAATGATTCCTCTGTCAGGACTGTTGTAAAGATTGAACCCATGTATGTTTGGCATAGTAAGGTCACAATAAATGGTAGCTATAAAAATTAATCACAGAATGAACTGCCACCCTTGATCTTGTCCATTGAAATGAATGGGTGTTACTGATTGCAGATGTGTCTGGGTGATAGGTGGCCCGCCTCCTTCACTGCCACATGTAGCCCTCCCTCTGCCCACAGAAGCCGCCAGCTCAGAGGAAGAGGGTAAACTCATCAAGAGGACAGGTTTTTGGCTGAACCCAGTTTGGCTCAGTGGATAGAGCGTCAGCCTGCGGACTGAAAGGTCCCAGGTTCGATTCCAGTCAAGGGCATGTACGTTGGTTGCAGGCACATCCCCCCGGGGGCGGGGGGGGGGGGGCGCGTGCAGGAGGCAGCTGATTGATGTTTCTCTCTCATTGATGTTCCTAGCTCTCTATCCCTCTCCCTCTCTGTAAAAAATCAATAAAATATGTTAAAAAAGAAAAAGAAAAGAGGACAGGTTTTGGCAGAGGTCTCCAAGTAGCTGTACTTCTAATTAGGGCCATTAAACAAGGTTATAGGGTCCTTTAAGTGTCTGATGATGAGCTGAACACACTGTCTCTATTCATGAAAAAAACACCAGTTAGATGACGAAGCAAGAATCAGAGGAAAAAAAACCCGTTTTTAGTATTTAATGTACAAGTCCTATTCTGTTTCTATTAACATTTGAGTGCTTCCTGAGGGGTTAGTACATGATCACTGAGTTCTCATAAAAAGCCTAAGCATGGATATTATTTACTTGGTCCACAAGAGTAAATGGGCCTTAGAAAGCTTAAGTGACCTTTCCATTGCTACCCAGTGAGCGTTGAGCCACGTTTGAACCTAGTTCTACTGACTGAACGGGGAAGCACTCTCAAGCGAGCTTTGTCCACGCTGGTGTGTCTTCCGACCAGTGCCTGCATCGTGTTACTAATGCCACATGTTACTGGCCCTTAGGAGAGAAGTACAGATACTGATAGGAAGCATTTAGAAATTTTGAAAGCAACTTGTTGGAGTCATTTTGATTCTATTGAATCTAATTTTTAAAAAATAGGGCTTGTATTTTGTGTCATTTTATAATTCATTTGTCTAGGAATTCACTTTTTTTTTTTTCATATCATAGACACTATATGATCATCTGAAAATAAAAACCCAGCCCTTGACTACAGATAGCTTGAGAAACTGCACTGGTATGTGAACGGCAGAGCCTTACTCAATTACATACGGAGAACTCGGATCTTTGCATTATCTCTTTCTAGGGGCTACAACTGGCTAAGGCCAATTTTTACTGGTTTCTTAGGAAAATTGTTCAGAATAACAGTACAGATTTACAGAGTTGCACTGGGATAACAAGCAAACTTCTATGCCAAGTATGTGTTAGCTGTACACCACAGACTTTGGTTCCATAGCAAAGACGAATGAGGACATCTGTACATGGAACTTGAATTTTAAAGCAAGATTCTAATAGTTATGTTAAAAAAGCATTCAAGATTTTTAATTGTCCCTAAGAATACTAATAAGTGAAGAAATTCGGTGAAAGTAGCAGACTCAGGTGACTAGCACTAAAAACATACCATTAAAATACTAGTAAGACTTTTTAAAGAATTTTCTAAACCTGTCAACTGTCCTTAAAAGATGAAGTAGGGCTTTGCACTAGAGATGATTCAAGAATGTTTTCAAAATGGGAGTGGGGCCACGCAGGAGTTTGCCAATTAATTTCAGACCTTTGAAATACTGTATAACTTCAAGTGTGCTTGCTACTTTTCTGTTAAGTTGTAAATTGATAAAATTTCCTGTTTCTTAAGAAAAACCATTTGTTTAAGTTTGAATTATGTAAGGGCTTTACAATAAATATACCCTCACTTATTAATTCTGGCTCAGTATTACGATAAGTATACCCACAAACTGGCATAAATATATTTTTATAGAGGAATATAGTCAAAAGGTGAAAATAATTACTGAACTCTAAGTATTTGAAACCTTCAATCAAAATTGGCTCTTTAGAAACCAGAAAAAACAATATTAGGAAGTTTATCCAGTTTTATGATCTGCTCTGGTGTCATTTAATGAATTCTCTGGGACTGCAGTTCCTTTAAGGTGATGAGTTTACTTTTTTAAAGAAACAGTTGGCATGTTACACAAAGAGCAGTGCTCCATAACCACACTTTCCCCCCATTTCACAGCCAAACGGTTGGCCAGTTTCCAGCATCTTCCTCACATTTACCTATTGTCCAAGTAGCTTCCTGCTCCTTAAACTTTCTGCATTTTTCTCCCCTATTTAAAACAAGTGAGGATATTAATTATATATTCGTTTACTGGACTGATTATTCTAAGGATAAGCTCTTAATTCACTTTGAGGAAAATGGCTTTGTGTCCCTTTATACATGTCATATATGGCCTTTTTAAAAGGAAAGTTGGGTGTGAGCAAATAGGTAAAACTTTTCTGGCTGCTTGGTAGTATTAAAACAAGCCCCACAGTTTGCAAGTTGGTGCAGCTGCTATGGAAAAGTGGAAGTTCCTCAAAAAATTAAAAATAGTTGTGTGCATGCATATGGACCTAGCCAGTGGCCATGGACAACAGGGGAGTGGGGACATATGTGGGGAGGGGTTTGGGATGGGAATGGGGGGATGAGGACAATTATGTGATACCATAATCAGTAAAAATAAAAAAATTAAAAATAGGACCCCTTACAACCCAGCAAGTCCACTTCTGGGTATATATCCAAAGAAATGCAAAACACTAATTTGAAAAGATATATATAGCCTTATGTTCATTGCATTATTTACAATAGGCAAGATATTGAAGCAATGAAAGTGCCCATCAATACACAAGTGGATAAAAAAAATGGTATGTTATGCAATGGAATATTACTCGGCTATAAAAAAAGAACGAATTCTTACTATATGTGACATGGATGGACCTAGAGGATATTATGCGAAGTAAAATAAGTCAGAGAAAGACAGATACCATATCATTTCACTTATATGTGGAATTTCAAGAAAAACTAAACAGTAATAGACTAACAGTTATAGAGAACAAATTGAGGGTTGCCAGATGGGAGTGGGGTTAGAGGACTGGGTGAAAAGTAATGGGATTAACAAATACCAACTGGTAGTCATACTGTAAAGTACAGCATAGCGAATACAGTCAGTAATCCTATCTAATAAAAGAGTAATACACAAATTAACCATCACTCCACCACAAGCTATGCCCATAAGCCAATCAGGAGCGAATATGCAAATAAACCCAACCAAGATGCCACAGAGCACAAGAGGGAGGCTTGGGATTTCCCAGCAATGGAGGAAGCCAAGCTTTCTGCCTGTCCTTGATGCCTAGGCTTCCACTCAAGGCTACAAAGTTTCAATTATATGATAGAAGATATATAAATCCAAACACAAATGGCTGCCACCAGGAGCAAGCAGAAGGCTTAGCTCTGCTCCAGGCTACAAAGTTTCAACTGTAGAAGGTAAACCCCAGATACCAGGGCCTCTGCTTGAATTGCTGGGGAGCATGGCCTGACTGCAAACCATCACAGGCCCCTTGCCCAGGCCGCCCCACGCCCCAAGGGATCCCCCACCCTGATCCAAGACACCCTTCAGGGCAAACCAGCTGAACCCCACCCATGCACCAGGCCTCTATCCTATCTAATAAAAGAGTAATATGCAGATTGACCATCACTCCAACACACAAGATGCAAGATAGCTGACCCCATGTGGTCAAAGATGGCTGCCCCCATGTGGACACAGGATGGCCACAACAAGATGGCCAGCAGGGGAGGGCAGTTGAGAGGGACCAGACCTACAAGGGAGGGCAGTTGGGGGCAATCAAGCCTGCAGGGGAGGACAGTTAGGGGTGACCAGGCTGGCAGAGGAGGGAAGTTGAAGGTGACCAAGCTTGCAGAGAATGGCAGTTGGGAGGGACCCAGGGCTGCAGGGGAGAGCAGTTGGGGTGGGATACCAGGCCTGCAGGAGAGGGCAGTTAGGGCTAACCAAGTCTGCAGGGGAGGGCTATTAGGAGCAAACAGGCTGGCAGGGGAGCATTTAGGCATCAATCAGGCTGGCAGGGGAATGGTTATGGGGTGATCAGGCTGGCAGGCAGAAGTGGTTAGAGGCAATCAGGAAGGCAGGCAGGCGAGCAGTTGGGAGCCAGCAGTCCTGGATTGTGAGAGGGATGTCCGACTGCCCATTTAGGCCCGATCCCACCAGGCAGTTGGACATCCCTTGAGGGGTCCCAGATTGGAGAGAATGTAGGCTGGGTTGAGGGACACCACCCCGCTCCTCTGCATGAATTTTATGCACTGGGCCTCTAGTTCTATATAATAAAGAGGCAATATGCAAATTAACCTTTATGTCCTGACAAGATGGCTGCTTATGATCAGGCCGGCAGGGGTGTTAGTGAAGGACGACCAAACGACTGAACAAGCAGGCTGCATGGGGTGACCAGGCTGGTGTGTCGAGGGGAAGGGGGACATGAGTGGTGACTAGACTGGCAGGGGGGCAACCAGGCTGGCAGAGGGGGGCAGGTGGGGGCAACCAGGCCAGCAGAGGCAGCAGTAATAGGTGACCAGGCTGGCAGGGGGGAGGAGGGTGGAGTTAGGGACAACTAGACCAACGGGAGGGGGGTTGCAGTTAGGGGCAACCAGGCTGGCTGGGTGGGGGGAGGCAGTTGGGGGCAATTAGGCTGGGGGGAGCAGTTAGGGGCAACCAGGCTGGCAGAGGGGGGAAGTTGGGGGTGACCAAGGCCAGCAGGGAGGCTATTAGGGGTGACCAAGCAGGCAGACAGGTGAGCAATTAGTAGCCAGCAGTCTGGGATTGTGAGAGGGATGTCTGACTGTCAGTTTAGGATCGGGCCTAAACCAGCAGTCAGATGTCCCCCAAGGGTTCCAAATTGGAGAAGGTGCAGGCTGGGCTGAGGGGACTTTCCCACAACCCCTTGTACACTAACTTCATGCACTGGGCCTTTAATATTGTAGTAGTAACTACCCTGTTTCCCCGAAAATAAGACAGTGTCTTATATTAATTTTTGCTCCCAAAGATGCGCTAGGTCTTATTTTCAGGGTTTGTCTTATTTTTCCATGAAGAATACGGTACACATTTATTGTTAAATGAAAATAAAGGAAATTTATTACCTGTATACAGTACAGCAGTACAGTAGTTGTCAACACAAACAAGACAAACTGTGAATCCTACAGTATCAAGAATTTACTCATTTATTCAATGACAATCATGTCATCATCTTCTGGAACATCATCATAACAATCCAATTCCTGAATTTCCTGGTGAATTTCTTGTGACTCCATTTCTTTCAGAATCAGTGGACCAAATTTCTCATGTTTAGCCTGGTTGGGGGGGGGGGCTTATTTTCGGGGGATGCTTTATATTTCACTTAGAAGGAAACCTGTAAGTAGGTCTTATTTTCGGAGGATGTCTTATTTTCAGGGAAACATGGTATTATGCCTGGTGGGTAGTAGAATTATCAAGGATCCCTTAGTCAATGATATAATTGTCTTAACCATTATGTAGTACACTTGAAACTAACATAAAATAATATTGAACGTCAACTGAAACTGAGAAAAAACCTTTCACTGGAAGGCTTCAGTCCTTTAGGATGCACCAGGAAAGAATTCATCCTGCCTTTTCCAGATTCTAGAGGCTACCTTCCCTTGGTTCCTGGCCCCTTCCTTCATATTCAAAGACAGCATTTTCAATTTTAAAAATTATTATAATAGTCTGGACCTTTTTTATGTAATTACAATGAGCAATTTTTCTAAATCAAAGACTTTAAAATTGTCTACTAGCATGTCAAACTCAAGACTGGTGGGCTGCATGTGGCCCTCCAGCCTCAAGTTTGACATGCTTGGTTTACAAATAGGTATATTTATGACTACAGTATGGACTTTTTGGTGGTATTTTATGCATCACTGTTCTGCCTTGTTGTCTTATCTATGCAGCCCAGGTCGAGGGCTAGAAATTAGAACCAAATGGCCCCCAGTTATACAATCCTTATATCATCTTAACTCACAACTGATATTTCAAACTCTTAAAAGGAAATGGACTACCCCAATTTTTCTGTCTTGGTTATTTTTAATATATTTTTATTGATTTAAGAGAGGGAAAGAGAGAGAGAGAAACATCAATAATGGACAAGAATTACAGATTGGCTGCCTCCTGCAAGCCCCACACTGGGTATTGAGCTTGCAACCCAGGCATATGCCCTGGCCAGGAATTGAACTGTGACTGCCTCATTCAGAGGTCAATGTTTAACCACTGAGTAATGCTGGCCATTATCTTTTTCTTTTCTTTTTTTTAATTTATGAAGAGTTTTTAATAATTTCAGTGATGTTATTTTTTGCAGTTTTGTAAGTCTATATTGTGCAAAGAACTTTATAAATTTTACTACAATAAATGTAAATGTAATTTTTAAAAAATGACAATAAATTTAATCAAAAATAGCCTCACAGATAAACTTGGGCTGGAGTCCATGCAGATTGTCCCCAGCTATGTATGGGGGAGAGATTATTTCTATCTCCTTAAAGAACTTCAGTTCAGCCGGGACTGGTTTGGCTCAGTGGATAGAGCGTCGGCCTGTGGACTGAAAGGTCCCGGGTTCGATTCCGGGTAAAGGCATGTACCTTGGTTGCGGGCACATCCCCAGTAGGGGGTGTGCAAGAGGCAGCTGATCGATGACTCTCTCTCATCGATGTTTCTAACTTTCTATCCCTCTCTCTTCATCTCTGTGAAAAATCAATAAAATATATTTTAAAAAAACAAAACAAAACAAAAAAACAAAACAAACAAAAAAAAAACCAACAAAACTTTAGTTCAGGCCTGAGCCTTCTTTACATCAACTCCTCCCTTCTAGCCTTCACTTTTCTATAAATGTAAAATATTGTTCAAATGCAGTAAATGTATTTAATCTTCCATTATGCCAATTTTTTTCTGGTAATATTGTTAAAATAGCCCAGATTACTAAGGTAAATTGAAGTTAATGGAAGCTGTTAAGATAGGAGATGAAAACAATTTCAATAGTTTAAAAACCATTTCAATTGAAATTATATAGACATCCTATATAATTAAGAGGCAATATGCAAATTGACCCTCACATCCCCACACAAGATGGCCACCTCAAGATGGCTGGCAGGGGAGAGTAATTGTGGACAATCAGGCCAGCAGGGGAAGGCAGTTAGGGGCTACCAGGCATGCAGGGGAGGGCAGTTGGGGGCACTTGGGCTGGCAGGGAAGCAATTAGGTGTCAATCAAGCTTGCAGGGGAGTGGTTAGGGGGTGATCAGGCTGGCGAGCAGTTGGGAGCCAGCAGTCCTGGATTGTGAGAGGGGTCCCAGATTAGAGAGGGTGCAAGCTGGGCTGAGGGACCATCCAACACCCCACTCCCCGCACAAATTTCATGCACCAGCCTTCTAGTTTTTCTCTAAAAACGCTATCTGAATTTAAGGACCCTAAGACTCCTATTTCTTTTCTTTTTTAGAATTCTATTTCTAAATAATCTGTATATATTCTTATTCTAAATGTAGAAAAAACCTATTTTTGATTTTTAACTTAACCACTTTCCTCATAAAATTTGAGGAATAAATTTACATTTTATGGTCAATTTTAAATTTTCCATCACTTTAGGCATCAGAACTTATAGATTTCATTTCCTTAACAAAAAAGCCGTTCTACTATAAAGATTATTTAATGCTAAGCATTATATCCATAAACTATGAATTTGAAACTAAAACATAAGTTTTAGTTTAACATGTTTTAAAATCAGTTAAACACATGTTAGGGTAGTTTTTAAAAATTGTAATACAACAACATTAGAAATTATCTTTATTCTTAAACTGACAAAAGCATTTAACACATAGTTTACAGTATAAACAAATTAAGTGCTATACATTTTGCTTATAAAGTGACTTAAAATATTTCAAGCATTATATAATTCAATTTGTACAAAAAGTAAATTTCCAAATAAAGCTTGGTTATTTGGTATAACTGATTATGTACTATCAAATCCATTCTCCAAAAGTTGTACAAGGAAAAAAGCTTCATTCATTAACACAGGTATTTCTGTACAAACCTTTTTACTATTTTGTAAGGGAGAGGGGGGAGAATAGTATAATAATTACTTTTAATTTCCAAGTCTAGATCATTCTTCCCCCCCCCCCTTCTCATTTATATGTGGCCAGAATACCATTAATTTTAAAAAGCAAAAATTACACAGAATATCACCTTTTACTTTATTCTTAGGAAGGTATTCAATTTAAAAATAGATTAGCCCTAACCGGATAGAGGACTTGGGGACTCAAGGGTCCCAGGTTTGATTCTGGTCAAGGGCATGTACCTTGGTTGCAAGCACATCCCCAGGAGGAGGAAGTGTGCAGGAGGCAGCTGATCAATGTTTCTAACTATCCCTCTACCTTTCTCTCTGTTAAAAAAAAATCAATAAAATATATTAAAAAAATAAAATAAAAATAGATTAGATCTGTAAGACTGTTAACTTCCATAATTACCAAAATGCTTTCTAGAAATTTGAAGCATTAATCTATTCCATGGGGAGTAAATCAGTTCTAATTTCCCTTAGGAGGGTAATATCAACTAGCACTAGTGTTTAGAATCAAAGTTTATATAATATCTAAAAGAACTTAGCCCAAAAGTTACTATTTTTACAGTCTACAATCTATGAATTACCTTCATTCATAAGAAAAGTATTAAAAATGCTAACTTAAATAATATATAAGTTCAACCAAATTAACAATCAAAAACTATAGACATTGTTCTATTAACATTTTCCAGTCTACTGAGCAATATTTACTTAAAAATATGATTAGGAACTTAAATATATCCTTTTAAATTTACAGTCTATGCTGAACTATACACTGATGCTTCTGTTATAATTTTTGAAAGTCTTACATAACTATATAATTCCAAAATGGAAAAATGAAATTCACTGGAGACTTAAAAAATATATTCCTTCATGGAAATAATTTTTAAGTATTTTAAAGTTCTACTTTTATTTGAATTTAGCTTTTTAAAAATAAACTTTTCAATTATTGTATAATACTTCAAAACTAGTTTAAACAAAACTGAGAATTCGTAAAACATTCCTTACTTTACATACAATGCCTCAAGTGCCAAATAAAATAATGTATTGCAGAAAAGAATTACAATGGTTTAGCAGATTACAGAGGAAATCTAAAAGTTTATACTAAACTAGACAATGCCTCCCTTCTGGTGTTTATTTTCTTTTAATTTTATCTTGGCTGTTTGTTATCCTTCTAATATAACTACTGTGTGACATATATCGGATGTCTAAGAATTATAATTATATTTATACCTTATTAAAGGTAACATTTGAGAACATTCAACCGATCTTTTTCATTAAATACAAAATAACGTACATTTTTTCCTCACAAAATGCTTACTTTCCTGAGCTATATTAAACACCTTATAACAGGTATATATATAACTGAAGACCCTAAAATGTCAAGTTTACATTAAAATAAAGAATGTAACACAACATTTTGTAAAATCTATTAGTACTCACTTCTTGGATATTATAATATACACTGAATGGCCGTATTATTATGATCTCTGAATACATACTAATCTGGCCACTCAGTGTATATCCTATATAAAAAAGACTAATATGCAAATTGTCTCCTCGTCCAGCAGGCAGGCCGGCCAACCGCCCATGTACCCTCCCCCTAGCCAGGCTGGCCAGATCACATCTACTCACGAATTCATGCACCGGGCCTCTAACACACACATCCTGAGTGGCCAGATTATTATGTGTTCAGAGATCATAATAATCTGGCTATTCAGTGTATAGGTTTTGTTCCTTCAGATTGTAAAATATTCAATCTTTATAACAGGTTTCAGATTTGAACCAAATTAAATAAAATCTGCAATCTGACTAAAGAAATAAAATTTTCCAACCAAAAATGATTCATGGGTCTTCCAATAAACAGTCCTTATATACTCAATACAGAATACTATTAAATTTCTGTTCCACAAAATAGAATTAGAGCTACAGGAAATAAACTTTTGTTATAATACAATATGCTTAAAGTTAAGGTGCTATTCATCATTCCCTACATCACTTAGTCTTTACCACGTGGGCATCATGTCTGGAAACCACACCCTACCAAGGTGCTTGGACACTTCCCAATGAATCTGCTCCAAGCTATACGTTTGGTCAGGAATTAATACTTCTTCCATAATGGATAATTGAGACAGGCGACCGCCACACATCTTCACAAACTCAACAAAGGCACTACATGAGACTTCGCATTCCCCTAGTCCAATAGCTGACAAATTTTTGCATCGTTCTGCAATTCGAATTAACTCTTCATCAAGAGGTCGTAATCCATTAGCACACACTACTAGTTCAACCAGTCTAGGGCATGTCATTCCCACACGGCCAAGCACATCTTTGCTTACTGACCTCCCAAAATAAAGATGGGTGGCAGGTATTTCATACCGAAAGAATGGATCAAATTCCTCTTCATATAAAAAAAAATACATCACTAAGTTCACTTTGGGTGAATGTCTGATGAAAGCATCCCAGCTGCTCTTCTGAATTGTATGGAAGTGTGTCTGTCCAGGATTCTCGCTGACTACATCAATGCGCAAATGTTCTAATCGAACGTGTTTTTCAGAAGATAAAGCCAGCAGCAATTCATCACTTAACAAATGGTAATTCAGGGCCAGTTCACGTAAGCCATGACATTGATCAGCCACACAAAGGATACCTTGGAAAAAAAAAGATCTAATTATTTACAAATTTCTGCACAAGGTCATCATCTGTTCAAAAATGTAATCAAATACATGTCCCACAATAAAATCTTACCTATTTCCCTTACACAAAGCTATACAATTTAAAATTTAGTTATATGATTGAATTAGAAGGTAAGTTACCAATATTTAAATATTACTAATTTTGTCCTTAAGAAAATTAGACCAATTTAAATGAACCTAAGAAAGAAAGCTCACTTATCAACTCAGAAAAATTAAGAAATAATTATGTCATTTAAAAATATACAATGACTAAGCAAGGTTTATCCCAGTAATGTAGTACCATAATTTTTTTAAAGAAACTGTTTACTATCACTGAACTGATAGGTAAGGCAAGGAAAATTATATGATTATTGCAACAGAAGCCAAAGGGCATTTTTTGAAATTCAAAACCTTAATAAATCTTAATTAAAATAAGGTAGAAATCATATACAGTATTATTTATATAATAAAACATTTGAAATAAGATATTTAAAAAATAGATTTTCATCAAATGAGCAGAGTTTAACTGATAAATAGTATATATAAGTATGTCATATTTCTTTTTAAAAAAAATATATTTTATTGATTTTTTACAGAGAGGAGGAGAGAGGGATAGAGAGCTAGAAACGTCAATGAGAGAGAAACATCAACCAGCTGCCTCTTGCACACCCACCACTGGGGATGTGCCAGCAACCAATGTACATGCCCTTGACCGGAATCAAACCTGGGACCTTTCAGTCCACAGACCCACTCTCTACCTCTGAGCCAAACCAGTTTCAGCTAAGTATGTCACAATTCTAAGAAAAAAAAAAAAATACCAAGGTAAACAAGTCAAAAGGTAATTACCAACTCACATTAGTGAAAATATACATTATGTCTTTGAAAGCTCTAACTTACACACAAAGCAGTTCCTTAAATGGTTCCAATGCGTAGGGTACTATGCTTCAAAACTGCTCCAAACCCCTACCAGCAGATGATTTAACAAAGGCTAATATCTGATCTCCAAAGTGGCTTAGTAAGACACACCCAATATACTGGTATACTACTTGATAAGTGAGCAAATAAACCATTTCCTTTGGGTGTTTAGAAACAAGAATACAAACAACAAAACTCACATCATATTATCTACTATCTATTGTGCAACGATATGTCAGGTACTAAATATGTTATCCTACAAATAAAAGTCTAGAAAGGTAAATATCCTATTTTGAAGTTGTAGGCAGTTAATTTCAAAGACCACAACTGGAATTCAAGGAGTGACAATACTAAGGCCATCAATAAGCCCAAAACTTTAAAGAGTAGGAGGAGAAGACAAGCAACAGAATCAGTGAAAACATAAATGGAATAGCCAGTTTAAGAGAATCACCAGAAGAGGGAGTAAAAGACATCTGTGCTTTAATGTTCAGTCACTGCCAAGTTTCTGTCTCCACAAGGTGTATATATACTATAAAATAAACCCTGACCACCCAAGGTAACCTGAACACATTTCATTCTTTGCAATCTTATAAACCTGATATAAATAGAAAAAACAAAAACACACACATGGGAAATGGTAACCTAAGATGCAAATAAAAGAAACTGGGAGATAGATACCATTTACTAGTAATAAAGCAGTATGACAAACATTACTTCTCAAAGTATCAATAGTTCCCAAGATTCCACACCCTAATCCCTGGAACCTGTGAATATGATTAAGATACCACTCCCATGATTATGTTATATAGCATAGTTGGCTTTAAAACAAGACTGTCCAGGAATGACCCTTTTAAAAACCCAGTGAAGAAAGGAAGTGATTGGTATTTCCTGTGGAACACCCAAACATGGAACACCCAAACATGGAAGAAAACACAAGCATTCTAAGAACTGACCGAAATTCAACACAGATTATCCTATTTTAAAGGTTGAATCCCAACAGATAGGCAAGGACCATCTCATATAGGATCTTGCCAGCTTCAGCAAGGTGTTTGGATCTTATCTAAAGCACAGTAAGAAGTTTCTAAAGAAACTGGAGGGAAAAAACCATCAAATTTTATTTTAGAATGAAAATCAGATTAGAGAAGAGCAAGTCTGCAAATCAGGAAATCAGTTAAGAGGGTATAGCCCAAAGATTGTGAGGCCTGGACTAGAGCAGTAAGAGTGGAGATAAAGAAAGGTACAGTGTCTTAGTTTGGGCTACTTAACAGAAGCAAGTGGCTTAAAAAATAAACATCTATTTCTTACAGTTCTTGAGACTAAAAGTCCAAGATCATGGTGCCAGCATGGTCAGGTTTGGGTGAGGGGCAGAACTCTCTCCGCACCCCCCACTTGTAGATGGCTACTTCTCACTATGTTTTCACATGGTGGAAAGAGAGACTGTCTTTCTTATAAGAGTACTAATTTTATTGATGAGGCCTCAACTCTTATGACCTAATTATCTACCAACCCACCTCCAAATACCATCACACTGGGGATTAGGGTTTCAATACAAGGACTGGGATTGAGGGAGAGGAAACAACACAAACATTCATTCTATGGCATCATAGAGATTCAAGGCATACTTCAGGGACACCAGACCTCCGTGGAAGAAATGTACAAAGTAAAGGGAGGAATTAAGGACATCTATCAGGTCCCCGACAACTAGACAGATGCCATTCAATGAGATGGTAAAAAGGGAAAAGCAAATTTGGATAGGGGGAAAAGGAAGTTCATTTGTCTGAGGTACCTGTGAGACATTCTAGAGGCACTGGGCCATCATAGCTCAATACACAGCTCTAGAGTTTCAGAGACATCCAATGTAGGAGGTATTAACATATAGGATGTAACTGAATAGGTAATGAGAACAGAGCTGAGTTTACACAGCAAAACAAAAAAGGATCCAATACAGAAGATAGTGAAACATCAAAGTTTAAGGAAGGAAAAGAAAACCCAGCAAAGAAAACAGAGTAGAAACAATCTGAGAGGAAAAAGGAAAATCAGGAGTATGAAAGAGACAAGACACAGGTGTCAAATGGTCCCTAGAGGCCCTGTAGGGAGCATTATAGAGTTAAGCCTCAGACTGACCTGCTGGCAAAGTCGCAAACAAGTCCCAGCTTTGAGGGCACAGCCCTCTAAGCATAATTAAGCTTGATCTTGTGACTGCTTAAACTTGATTGCAACATGTGTACTGAACATGTAGATTCTTTTTGTCATTATTCTCTAATCACTTAGATCTTTCCTGGGTAGCTAATGGGCTGTGGGAGGGGCAGCAAGTGACAAGTGAAACTTATAAGAACACTGTAAATTACCTTGTTTGCCCCTGACTTTAAATAAAGCATCAGCTTTGCAGTCTGGATCTGTTCTGTGGCCTCAGCCTGGCACATAAGATCCATCTAGACTCAGCTTATTCTTTTTGTCTGTCTTTTTCTTCATCCTTCACCAGCCCTCCCTCAGGCTTGATGAACCCTTGACTGTGCTGGCGCAGCACAATAGACAATTATAAGGACTATACGAAATGGGAAAAAAGTTTGACAAGATGTTCAGTGAAGAAAGCAGAATAGAAAATAGCCTGTAATTTCAACTTAGAAAAACTGTCCAAATGTATGAAACATGGATAAAAAATATATAACATGTTAAATTTTAAAGATCTTTATAGTTACAAACTTAAAAAATATAGCCCTGGCCAGGTGCCTCAGTTGGTTAAAGTGTCATCCTATACACCAAAATATTGCAGGTTAGGTTTCTGGGTCAGGGCACATACCTTATTTTTTGGACCATAAGACGCACTTTTTCCCCCCCAGAAGTGGGGGGGGAAAGTCCCTGCGTCTTATGGTCCAAATATAGCCTACACATATACTTTAAAAAAAAAGTTTTTTTACTTGCCCGTCTCTGTGTGCTTGCCCGGCTCTAAAATGGTTCTAAATGCTGTTTACAGGGTTGATTACATGTGTTTATGACTGTGATGTTGGGTTTTAATGCACATAAAGTATTTTAGGACACTATTTGTTTCAGAATCTTTTTTTCTTCATTTCCCTTGTCTAAAAACTGGTGTGTCTTATGGTCCGGAGCGTCTTATGGTCCGAAAAATACGGTACTTAGTTTGCAGGTTTGATCCCTGGCCCAAGTGTGTATGGAAAGTAACTGGTTGATATTTCTGACATTGGTGTCTCTCTCTAAAATCAATAAAAGCACACATATCCTTAGGAGAGGATTTAAAAAAAAAGTGTTATAAGTGCTCCATCTCCCTCCTGAACAACTAGTCCACAAGTCATTAGGTCACATTAAGGAAGCTTATACCAGTCTATCAGAACTGATGTGTATATACATTAAAAATAAACATGGGATGTATTGGGATAAAGAGAATAATGAGCTCACTCTCGTGGAGAAACCAGAGACCCCAAGGCTCTCACAGAGTGCTATGAGTTACGTTCAGAGTGATATGGAAACGACAGGGTAGCAAAAGCAGAGAGGAGGAAACAGGAATAAAACCAAAAAACCTGAGCTGCATTCTGAAAGCTGAGCTGGAATTATCTAGAATCTAGATGAAGTGGGGGAAAACAGGTATTCCACAAGGTACAGTGTTCTGCTGACACACAGGTATAAAGACCTGTAGTTTACATAGGGCTCAAGTAAAAGCTGCATGTGAGCGAATAGCTAACATAATGAAAGAGATGGGTGGAGATCAGGATACAAAGGGCCTTGTACACGATGAAGCTTTGAATTATGAACCTTACTCTGAGTTATCTATACAGTAGATAGTAAGATGTGACCAAGATTACATAAGAAGTAACTGCCAAAGCCCATTCTTTTTCATTTAGATTTATCATATTTTGTGATAATCTAGAAGTGGCAGAAGTTAGAAAAATATAGTCATATCTTGGTGTCACTTGGTGACTGGTTCCAGGACAATCACACAATACCATACCACTCCTCCCTTCCCCCTGCAGAAACCAAAATCCACTAGATTCTAAATGCTGTTTACAGGGTTGATTACATGTGTTTATGTAATCAACCCTGTAAACAGCATTTAGATGCTCTAGTCTCTTATAGAAAATGTGTAATATTTGCTAATAACCTACGCACATCCTCCCATACACTTTAAATCATCTCTACGTTACTTATAATACTTAATACAATCGAAATGCTATATAAATAGTTATTATCCTGCATTGTTTAGGGAATAATGCCAAAAAGAATCTGTATATGCTCAGTACAGATGTTGCAACCATCATAGGCCAAACTACACAATACACATCAGTAACAACATAACCTTTTTACTTTTTTTTTTTTTTTTTTTTTTTTTTTTTTTTTTTACTTTTTCTGAGTATTTTCAATCCACAATTGGTTGAATCCATGCATGCAGAATCCACGGATACGGAGGGCCCACTGTATTGCAAGAAACCTAGCCATTCCCATCACCAAGATCCTCTGTATTGTAGATAGGGAAGAATGAGCAAATATCTTCATCCAAGAAAGATATAGTTATTTCTTTTCTTGGGGAAAAACCGGGCTTTAGGTATGGCAAGAAAATGGGAAGTGTTCTGTAAAGAGTTCAAGAATTTAAGATCATTTCTTAAAAATAAGTTTCCCAAATAACAGCCAAAGGATTGGGAGTTAGGTCAACAGTGGGAGGTTGAGTCAGGAGTGAAGCATCAGAGAGTAGTACAAAGTATTGTATATTTACTTTATAATACAAGCCATTTGAAATTTACATGATATAAAACTGAATAAGGTGCAGTATTTAAATTCTATATGAGATTTTATAATGCTACTAGAGGCCCATTGCATGAACATTCGTGCAATAAGCACTGGTTTTCCTCTGGCACTTGGGACCCAGCCTTTGCTCTGGCTGCAGCCTTGAGGCTTCTCTGCTCTGGCTACAGTGAGGCTTGGCTTCTCTGCTCTATTATAGCAGAGAAGCCAAGCCTCTTCAGTCTTCATAAGTCTTGGCTTGGGCAGGAGCCTTCAGTTTTTGCTCCACACCTGCATATGCAAATTAACCCACTATCTTTGTTGGGTCAATTTATATACTCACTCCTAATTGGCTGGTGGATATCATGCAGGTATGGTCAATTTGCATATTTCTTTTATTAGTGTAGATTATTCCCCCATTTAAAGTGACCTTTGGCTCCAAATTTCAACCTAGGGAAAGCATTATCTTGCAAAATGTAAGGCAACAACTTTAGCACAACTCCTCTCCTCTACTTAGCAAGAAGAAAACTAATTATGAGATTACACAGACTCAAAACCTATCCTGTTAGCTCAAATACAATAAGAGAAAGTTCTATTTTACCTAAAGGGGCACCTCAGGCAGACCTCATCTTGGCCTTTCATTTTTTTTTAATTTATCCATCTTTTTAACACAAGTTGGACACAAATTGCCGAATAAAATTAGAAAATAATTTGGAAGTGTCAATGCTACAGAATTTGCTTTATGACATTAAGAACACTTATGTAGCTCTAGCTGGTTTGGCTCAGTGGACAGAGCATTGGTCTAAGACTGAAGGGTCACAGGTTCGACTTTGGTGAAGGGCATATGCCTGGGTTGCAGGCTGTCCCCAGTCGTAGGGGAGTGCAGGAGGCAGCCAATCAATGATTCTCTCATCGCTTGATGTTTCTATCTCTCCCTCTCCCTTCCTCTCTGAAAAAAAAAAAAAAAAAAAAAAAAATATATATATATATATATATACACACACACACACACACACACACACACATTTTTTTAAACCACATATGTAAAAGAGAATAATCATATTAATTCCAAGATTAGTGATCATAGTTTTTTTTAAATTTGATAAACGTATCAATACATTGACTAAAATGTTATCTGGCAAAAACAAAACATACCTGCTGGGGACACGTGAGGACAGCTGCTCATTTTTAGCAGCTTGAGCGTATCACTGTTGTTGGCCACCAGTACTTTGAGGGATGGATCATCTACTGGGGTATCATCTATCTTAAGCGAGGATAAGGATTTGGAGTTTACAAACACAACTGTCAGTGCAGAGATAAAGTGAGACTGAAAAGCAAAAAAAAAAATACATTGTTTCAATTCTACAAATGAGAATTGAAAGAGTTGTCATAATACACATATTTGAACCCTAATGCTATTATTTCATAACTATTTTAGGGGCAGCATCTCCTTCACTCTACTGAAGCACCTTTTTACCTTTGGGAGAAAAAAAAGACTTCAAGCCTCAAGATGAGTGTCTCTATCACAGTAATTATTGGTAAGAAAAGAGAGGAATTCTGGAATTCAAGTTGATAATACCTCTTAGACATTTCACATAACTATCTGAAACCCTACTCTCCTGTTTTATAACAAATTGTATTATTTTTTTGTCTGATAGTAATGACCATTAAAACATAATAAATATTAGCATAATCATTAAAAATTAAAATAACAACCAACTCAGAACCTATGAAAGACTTATTTGGAATATGAAAACTTAAATAAAATTTGATTATAAAATAAAAATCATACCTAAATAAAATTCCAAGTTTAAAAATGCCTTTAAATATGTTAAATTATCTATGTTTTCAAGCCTATTTTAACATATTTTCCCACAAATATAACAGTTAATAGCTATCCATTATAATAAACATATCCTAAGTTATCAGTTGGACACAGAATCTGACCTAAAGGAACCACTGTAGGGAAACAGGAATCAAAGCATGGTCAAGGCCTGACCAGGTGGCTCAGCTGATTGGAGCATCATTCCATACACCAAAAGGTTGTGGGTTTGATTCCCAGTCAGGTTGCAGGTTCAATCCCCAGTCGGGGTGAGGACAGAAGGCAACTAATCAATGTTTCTCTCCTTGTTTCTCTCTCCTTCCCTCTCTTTCTCAAAATCAACAAAAACATAGCCTTTAATGAGGATTTTAAAAAAAGGTTTGAAACAAAAGCATGGTCAAAGTATATGACTTTGAGTAAAAACTAAGAAGCCATAACCAGTGGACAAATAATCCAGGAGAGGAAAGAGAGGCCAATCTGACCTCCCATTTAACTTCATAAATTTACTTCGGTAGTAAATTGGGAAGAGGGCAGGTTAATAGCCAGAAAGTACAGCTGACCCTTGAATAAGATGGGTTTGAACTGTGCAGGGCCACTTATATGTGGATTTTTTTTAAATTGAAAAATATCAAATTTTGTGTAAGTGGACCCGTGCAGCCATTAAACTGGTGTTTTTCATGGATCAATTACATTCGATCCGTAGCTGGAAATCCCCACATGCCGAGGGCCAGATCTTCGAATGCTCAGGAGTGGGTCCTCCCACACCCATGTTGTTCAAGGGTCAACTGGACAATGAAACACTATCTTTTTAATCATTCTTTTTTTTGCACTGTAATTAACTGTTTTACTATTTAAATGCTAAATCTTCCTCCTAAATTTTCATATCAAACTCAATTATTTATCTCATACAATCACATTTCATTAGTATACTCATAACTGCATCACTGCCTTCATTTTCCCATTTCCCTCAGATTTAGCTTTGGTCAAATATCTTTCAGGTTCTTTTTGGTTCTCACAGGATTTCCCAACTATAGCGACACTCAATTTCAATCTCTGCAGAAGCCCTAATAGGAAAAGAAAAAATAAAAACAGTACAAGCACCTGAGGCCCATCCTAATAAAGAATATGCAAATTGACCATAACTCCACAACAAAGATGGTGGCACCCACAGCCAATAAGGAGGGAATATGCAAATTGAGGATCATTCTGGGTCAGATGGCAGCAGCTGGGCTGGGACACTTGCATCATTGCCACAGTGATGAAGGCAGGCGTCCCACCCCAGTTGCTCTGGGCAGGTAGGCAGCACGAGGAGCGGCCAGTGGGGAGGTTGGGACACCTGCCCATCTGCTGGGAGCGCGCTGCCCGAGGCAATGAAGCTAGGTGCCCTGCTCCAGGCCGGTGGGCAGTACCTGCAGGCCAGATTGAAGAGGGTGCAGCTTTGACTTAGAGGCCCCCTCCCAGTGCACGAATTTCATGCACCGGGCCTCTAGTTCATCAATAATTCCCAAAGACAAAACTACTACACATAAGTACAGCATCAGTACTAATTATGCATAATGATAATCCCGAGTAATGAAAAAAAATTATGTTCAATATACTTTTAATATGTTTTATTTTATACATATTCCATATGTATAACTATGGTATGTACATAAAAAATTCAATTCAGAAGATTTCCCACATGATGCTTGAATAAGGTGCTACTGTAGCACATAACTAAGTGCTTCTTAGACTGAGATCCTTGAACCAGTTTAGGATTGATTGCTCTTAGGAAGGGAAAATTTGAAATAGTGGTAATCCAAAATTCAAATATTAAGTTTGAGAACAATACTGAATTTATATACTTAGAATCTTAAAATGCTGAAATAAGCAGATGCTCTTGTCCATTTCTCTTATTTTACATATGAGAAAACATTTTATTTCAAATGAAGATATGTAGTGAACCTTTTTAAAATCAATTAAGACTTGGAAATTAACTGGTGATATATGTTATTGATTGATATTCCATTGAACCACCTGGGTTATAATATACACTCAAGTTAGTAAAATCTCTCTGAATCATCCTAGTAAATTAAACTGTTAGGTGTTTTAAAAGGATATCTACATTTTAGTTTGTGATGCTCTCCGAAATATCTGTTTTTCAAATTGCTATTGGAAAATAACCTACTAAACATTAGCTAACATACTCGAAGGCCTTTATTAGTTGTCTTTCTAAAAATGCACACTTATTTTTCTATTTTAACAGAATTATTAGAGAGACTACTTCCAATTACATGTAGGATCATCTAAAAACATAAATATGGAGATATATCAACTAACTCTTCAAAAAATTTTCTTTAAATAAAATCTGTAAATTAATCCAAGCTGTTCTGATACTAACTCTGCTTGAGAATAAATCTTTATGCACTTAACAGAACTTGCTTTCAATACAGACACGGTCTACTTTTCTTTGATTTTAATTTCATCAATCTGCCCTGAAAGTCCAAAAAGGCACATCTATGTCTCTTTTTCTAATACTAGTGGCCCGGTGCACAAATTTTGTGCACATTAAAAGGGAATGAACTAGAGGAAACATTTTAATATTGCTATTTGCCCTTTCTCTATAATAGAAGTATCAGAGATGAAAGAAAATTAGTAAAATATATATGAAAATCTTCATCCTGTCAAGAGTCTGGGGCTCAACATGGGACCCAGAGTCAAGTCCCTGCCCCACCCGCATGCACCTTGAAATCACACAAGACCCAGACCTGGCTAGCCTCAACCTCACTGAACAAGATCCAGACCTGGCTGGCCCCACTCCTGTCAGGCCTCACTGAGTGTGGGGTGCAGTTGCAGGTCCCCAGTGCACCCTCAGGTACCCTGCCCCATCACTGGGGTGGTGGGTGCGGCCTGAGGTCCCCCGTCACCCCCGGGGGCGTGGCCTCAGGTCCCCTGGCCTGGCACCATGCAGCCTCAGGTCCCTGCTGATCGCTTCTTATGGGAACCCCGCCTACACTGTGGGCACAGCCATCTTGTCACAGTGTGACGGAGTAAGGGTCAATTTGCACATTACCTCTTTATTATATAGGATTCCTGTTTCTCAGTTTTACTTTGTCTCTTTTAAAACTTTCTATAGAAACCTCTATAAATTTATTCACTCTTCAACCTTACTCATAAAAAAAGAAAGTTTAAAAAAATCCTGTTAACATTCCAAATAGTAACTTATTTTCTATTTTACTACTACTTCTTACATTCCCAATGTCAGTATAGGAATGAATAGGGTTTCAATGATTTCTCAGTAATAGTTAATAAAACAAAACCAGCAAGATACCTTTGGTAAATCCATAAAACTTGGCCGAGCAGTTGAAATAAGTCCAAGTGTTTTTAAAGAGCAGTTCACAAGTTGTGATAATATATCACAAGCTGCTTCAGCTGATTCTTTGCTGCTGTCCACCTTAGAAAGAAAACACCATTTACCCATTGGTATATTTACATTACTCTGTGCATTTATTAACTTTACAAAAACAAAAAATAGTTATTAGTTTATTGCATAATTTAAAGAATTTATATTCTTTTGATCACCCACCCCTCATATGAATATGCCTATCAACCTAATTCTTTACCAAAAAAAGTTTTCTTTAAATAAAATCCAAGCTGTACTGACACTAACTTTGATTAAGAATAAATCTTTACACACTTATCACAAGATTTTTATAAGCAAGCTATACCTGCTTTCATTATTGACACTGTCTACTTTTCTTTGATTTTTAATTTCACCAATCGGCTCTGAATTTCCGAAAAGGCACATTTATACATCTCTTTTTCTAATGTACTTGTTTCTCAGTTTTACTTTGTCTCTTTTAGGACTTTTCTGAGTCACCCTAAGAAATTATAAGGGCAACTGTCAAAACTTAACTTTCATTATGAAAAGGTATATATTTAATGTTGAAAGAATTTGACTTTAAGTTTATTTATTCCAAACTGACTATATAGCCTAATGAAATGCATAACATTTATCTTTGAAAAATAATTATATATTTGATAATTGGTACAATCATACATATAAGTACATTATGTATAATATAATACACGTTTCAAGACACAAGAAACTGAAGTATTTACTCAGAAGGTTCAAATAAATCACACCTGGGGATTCACCACCAATATTACTGAAAAAATGAATGCACAGTGAAATAAGGGCTCTAACCAGTCAAGCATGAAAATCTCAAAGAAGCTGCTCCTACACACTCTTCTGCTTAGATATATCTAGGTAGAAGGATAACCAAAAAACTCCTCAAGCACTCTTTTTTTTTTTTTCTTCAGAAAGGAAGTTGCCCTGTGGGCTAAAAAGCATCTTAAAACAGAATAGTTAAAAGTATTGTTGTTATTTTAATTTCAGATTGATGTACATTACTTTAACCTCAAAATGTTCTGAGGAGCTGGCTGTACAACTGTTGTACTGATTTACGTTAAAGTCGCAAAGCCGTTTATAATATCCTTTGGCTAAGTTTCCCTACACTAGTGGTTCTCAAAGTGTGGTCCCTGGACAGCAGCATCAATATCCCCTGGAAAGTTGTTAGAAATGTGAATTCTCACGGCCAATCCAGACCACCGGAATCAGAAACCTTGGAGGTGGGAGTCTGCATTCTGTATCTCAACAAGCACTATTGGGGGTTCTGATTGCCCCTAAAGTTGGAGAAACCCTGTTCTACACCAATAATGGACTGTCCACCTCTTTGGCCTATCAGGAGAGGTAAAAAAAATCCTGTGATGTGGCTCTTTTTGCAAGTTAGAAATTATTTTCTCAGCAAAATAACAATAAGATAAAAATGTTTAAACTTTTAGGACAAGTGGTCCTGTAAGGATTATACAAATATAAGAATTATCACGGAGCTGTAAAAGATTAACACTGACCCAGCCAATCCAATGGATGGACTTGGTCTTTTGACTTATGTGATTACATATTATACTAATTTTTTCTTTTAACAGGATTTACCATCAGAACATTCTTAGACAACTCAAAGATAACTGAAATCACAGGGAGGCAGAGGAGAGACAACAAATGAGAAGTTCCCAATTTTTTATTTGTTTGATCCTTCTATCTTTCCCCACACTTTCCCCCAGTTAGGGTTGCCAAATAACATACAGGACATCCAATGAATAAGTATAAAGTATGTTCTAAGTAATGCAAGGGACATATTTATACTAAAAATTATTTGTTATCTGAACTCAAATTTAACTAGGCATCCTCTATTTTTATTTGCAAAGTCTAGCAATCCTACCCTTAGAGGTCTAAGAGCCTTTATGTATTTTTCTGGGAAGGAGGCCATTATATACCCAACTATTTCCATCACCAGTTCTTTCCTCATCCTTGAACACATAATGGGTGAATAAGCTGGTGATTTCTATTGAAGACTTTAATTTTGGTAAGGAACTCTGGGTAAGAATCCCTGTTTTATCTAGGTTTAACTTTACCTGTTTAATAACTGATACAGCTATAGTTAAATCAGGTATTCAGGTAGTACTACTTTTCAATAATAATTACCAGTGTTACTCATTTAGAAAATAAACATGCCCATATTTCTTTCCTTTTTTTAAAATATATTTTATTGATTTTACACAGAGAGGAATTGAGAGGGATAGAGAGTTAGAAATGTCGATGAGAGAGAAACATTGACCAGTTGCCTCTTGCATACCCCCTACCGGGGATGTGTCCGTAACCAAGGTACATGCCCTTGACCGGAATCGAACCCAGGACCTTTCAGTCCGCAGTCCGATGCTCTATCCACTGAGCCAAACCGGTTTTGGCAAACATGCCCATATTTCATTATCCATCCCAAAACAAAACATTACAAACCTCTGAACTTATACAGACCACTGTGATTCCTTAAATCCTAAACATCTCAAAAAGCCACCCCACTTCATTTATCTCATCACTGCATGATTTCAGTATATCCCTTCCAGCAATGAAAAGAACCAATCGCCCTCGTTGGTTTGGCTCAGTGGATAGAGTGTCAGCCTGAGGACTAAAGGGTTCTGGTCAAGTGCACATGCCTGGGTTGAGGGCTCAGGCGGGCTTGATCTCGAGTAGGGGGCATGCAGGAGGCAGCCAATCAATTATTCTCTCTCATCATTGATGTTTTTCTCTCTCTCCCCCTCTCCCTTCTTCTCTTGAAATCAATAAAAATATATTAAAAAAAAAACCCCAAAAAACCCCAAAACCAAACAGTTCTTTTGGCATTCTTCCATGTACCTTTTTCTACATCTTTCTAAAATATATTCTTAAAATATTTTACATAAAAGCTCTCTGTCTCCTTTTTCTTTGCAGATTCCATATCAAAAAGCAAACTTAGTCCCTATTAGGTAGAAACAAGAATTAAATGTTAAGTCAGCCATAATCTCCGCATTTAAAAAAATGTTATTGTACATTTCTTTTCCCTCAAATTGTTTGCAATAATTTAATGTGTTTGACAGCTTTGGACAATGATTTATGCTTATTTAGTGAATGCTTTTGCTCTTTTAAGAAATTATTAATAATTATAATAGAGTAATTAAGCTGAAATATAATTATTTATTACAACTTTTAAGGAACGTGATAATCCTGAATCTATCTTTAAGCAGTTTTCCTAAAAAGCAGTATTTCAAAGACACGAGAAGATATATTCACTTAGGATACAAAGGTCACTAATATGCTTTATTTTTTTTAAATGAAGGATTTAAAGTATTACCTTGAAGCTGACATATTGCAGATGGTTTGAATGTCTTTTGATGATCTGTTTGATCAGCTCTGGATGTGTAGCCTTTAAATAAGATGTAGCTGGCTGATGTAGTTCAAATTCAAAACATCTCCACAAGTCAGGCATGTGAAATACCTGGTTCCAGTTGCGGCAAACTTGTGAAGCATGAGCCCGATCAAGGAGAGGCAAATACTTAAATATTTGGAGAACAATGTCCTGAAGGAGATTACCCCAATCACAAGTCTGAGAATGCTCATTTGTAGTCCTCAGTTTCTTGGATTTCTCTGCAATATCTTCTTCTGATGAATTATGGTCACTATTGCTTCCTCCTCGTTTCATCCTATTCAGGAAAAAGCATAATTTTTTTTCATACTTCAACTTCTGAAGAAAGTAAATTCAAAATTCATTTTTCTGTCCCTGAGATGTGTGCAGAAAGAACAAGGCCAGTAATTCAAAAAGAATATCAAAATAAAATATAATGAAAACACAAGTGGAGACCAACTATCATCTTACAACTTTTTATACAGGTGCTTACACATTTGTATTTATAGTGTACTATTTGGAGGAGAAAGTTGATTATGATTTTGAAACAAAAACAAGAATTTATGTTTTAAAAGATACAGTCAACTGCCCTCGCTAATATGACTCTGATGATTGGAGTGCCGACCTGTACACTGAAAGGTGGCAGGTTCAATTCCGTGTCTGGTATACACGGGAGGAAACCAATATATTTCTCTCTCTCCTTTTCCCTCTAAAACCAATTCTTAAAAAATGTTCTAGTCAACTAACTAAAAGAGAACCTGCAATGACACTTTACTGGTGTGGCTCTGGAATTAAGCTCCCTGGGTTTGAATCCTATGTCTCACTGGTTATGTGGCCCTGAACAAGTTTCTGACCTCCTGTGCTTCAGGTTGTAAAATGAAGATAACACCTAGAATTCTTGTGAGGAATTAAAAAGTACTAGGGCTTTTGAAAGGAGACAGATGACTGTTAAACTCAGTTACAGCAAAGACATCCAAGCACATGACACAGTAAAAAAAAAAAAAAAATGACCCTATGTTTATTTTAAAACCAAATGTGTGTGTGACAGTGCAAGAATACACATATATGTTTGAGAAACACACACTGGAAGTAGGTTCATCACATTAATACACTATAATAGTAGATTATATTAATAGAATAATGTATTATATTGGGATTTAATAGTGGTGGAATTATAGGTGAATTTTTTTTCCCCAATATGCTTCTCTATATTATACACATTTATTTTCTTTTTTCAAATATATTTTATTGATTTTTCACAGAGAGAAAGGGAGAGGGATAAAGTCAGAAAACATCAAGGAGAGCGAAATATCCATCAGCCGCCTCTTGCACACCCCCTACTGGGGATGTGCCTTCAACAAAGGTAAATGCCCTTGACCAGAATTGAACCTGGGACCCTTGAGTCCGCAGGCCAATGCTCTATCCACTGAGCCAAACCGGTTTCAGCTAATTTAATTTCAATAAATACTATAATCAGATAAAAAGATCTTGTTTTGATTTGGCTTTTTGTTGTTTTTGAAAAGTATTGCAGGCTCTAAACTAAATGGGTCCTATTTACTTTAGAGCCTGCAATAATTTTCTTTTGTCTTTAGACAGCAGTTGTGGAATGATAATGGTCTGGATTTGGAGTCATTGTTTTTGAAAGAATGGCTGGCTCCAACTCTCTTCTTGGCACACTAGCATGTAAGAATTTCCGATTCCTGCATGGTACAAAGGATGTGCAAATGCATGAAGCTTAACCAACTATGTTTCCAGATTTTCTATCTAATAGCTAGCAACATTTGTGAAAAAGAACTGGGGATTGCAGGGAAAGAGAATGACAGAGACCCTCTGGTCTTTATGGCATTGAAATCAGCCCAGGTGGTCTGCCTTTTCCTCATTGCTCCTATTTCCAGCTATGTGAGATAAGCGAATGATGTATATATTCTTTTGAGCAAGGGAAAAGGGAAAAAACAGAATGACAGAGGTGATGGTAAGAGGTTAGTTGTGCTCTGGCCGGTTTTGCTCAGTGGATAGAGCACTGGCCTGTAGACTGCAGGGTTCCAGGTATGAATCTGGTCAAGGGCACATGCCTGGGCTGTGGGCTTGATCCCTAGCAGGAGGCAACATATCAATGATTCTCTCTCATCATTGATGTTTCTTTTCTTTTTAAAAAAAATATATTTTATTGATTTTGTACAGAGAGGAAGAGAGAGAGATACATAGTTAGAAACACCGATGAGAGAGAATCATCTTGCACACCCCCTTCTGGGGATATGCCCGCAACCAAAGTACATGCCCTTGACCGGAATCGAACCCGGGACCCTTCAGTCCCCAAGCTGATGCTCTATCCATTGAGCCAAACCGGTTTCGGCTCATCATTGATGTTTCTATTTCTCTCCTCTTCCTTCCTCTCTGAAATCAATAAAAACATTAAAAAAAGAGGGTAGTTGTATGGAATGGAAGACTAAAACTTATGTGTGAATCTATAGATGCATATTTTAAACTGTGTTTAGAGAAAAGATAGTATAAAGTACAAAGTAACCTTTAACATAAAAAAAAAAATCTCTCCCAGTAATGATGTCCTACTAGAGGTTGAAATAACACTGTCATTATGATCCATTTTTCTTATCCTGAAGGCTTACTTTAATTTTAGCATATAAAATTTGGGTCAAAGAACTAAAGAGTTTGCTATCCAGGGCTTGTAATTTCTCTTCTGGCTATCTAAAATTCTTCAGAATTTTGAGATAGAGATTCAAAAGAGAATGAAGCCATCTTTATATTTCTACCCCCTATCACAGAATGCTGACTGCTTATTTCTAGAGAAAAGTCTTCTAACACCAGAAATGTTCAACTTAAAAATGAAAAGATTTATCTTACTTTAAAGTATATGAACATACAAATATCTTTGTTAATACTTTGCTGATCCTCACAATAGATACTTTCTTTGTCTATTACAATTGTTTTAAACAAAGTATATTTCTATACCTTTTCAAGGTGAGGGGAGAAAAGCTGACATATTAAAAAAAAGTATGTAACACTAAGGAATAGCATCTCTTCATCTAGATATTAAGACTAAATGACCACTGAAGCATATTTTAAGCATTTATTAGTTTATAACTAACCAAACAAAACCTATAACTTATATATAATGATTGTAATATGTCAGAATTTTAGTACAATCAGCAAATGCCAATAAAAATAATCTCTGCATCGTCCTCATTTATGCATGAAAATAACAGAACACAGTGGGCACCTAATAAAAATTTTAAGTATCAATTTTTTCCAAGATGATTTCATTTATCAATGCAAAAATGTACATTGCTTTCAAAAGCATTTTATTAAATCTACTTACATATGAAGCTCTGCTATATCAAAAGTTAATTCAAACCAGTCAGTGTGGCTCAGTGGTTGCATGTCAATCCATGAACCAGGATGTCAGGGTTCCATTCCCGGGTTGTGGGTTGGATCGCCAGTGGGGAGTGTGCAGGAGGCAGCAAGCCAATGATGCTCTCTCATCACTGATGTTTCTCTCCCTCTCCCTTCCTCACTCTGAAATCAATAAAAATATTTATATATGTATTTTAAAAAGTTAATTCAAAGCATCCATCAGTCTGCAAAGAATTTATATCAATGAACTATTTCCTATTTTTAGTCAAAGTGAAATACCTCATCTATTTATCTAAAGGCCAGTCCTAGCTGGTTTGGTTCAGTGGATAGAGTGTTTGCCTGTGAACTGAAGGGTCCTGGGTTCGATTCTGATCAAGGGCACATGCCTGGGTTACAGGCTAGATCTCCAGAAGGGACTGCAGGAGGCAGGCGATCAATGACTCTCTTTCATCACTGATGTTTCTCTCTCTCCTTTCCTGTATGAAATCAATAAAAATATATTTAAAAAATAGATAAAGAGAAAGGCAGAGAGGAAGTTGGACAATTAACGTCAAAGAGACTTTGTAGAACACCAAAACCAAGTCTCTTCAGGGCTCTGGCAGTTCAATTTCAAACTGCAACTTTTTCTGGCTCCAAATAATTAATGCAACTTAGGCCACCAGAGCCATTTGGTGGGGGACTGACACTCCTATGGAGGGCCAAAAAGCAAACTAATGCGGAAAGACTGCAGACCAGCTGAGCAGTACAGGGCGTTGCAGAACTAACACATCCACACACTGCGAGGAGCGGCCACACCGTGTCCTCAGGGGAAGAGCAGAGCTAACACTCGTGTGTCCCTCACGGCATCAGGCACTTTCAGTTCCCGGCGCCTGTGGTCCTTTTAAAAGCCCGTTTGTTCTGAGCTCTAAGCAGCTTGATCTGGCATCACATTTCCTTTCCGTTTACGCTCTCCTTTGATGAACATTAAAATTAATACGCACGCTCTGGCTGGAATACAAGAATAAACTCGTGGAAAGAGACGGACTCTCAGATCTAGATGGTGGGGGGACATCGGGATGGGAGGGAGCATAGTGATGAAATTCTGTCTAGTGGTCATTTGTACTTCCAATAGATTGACTGGGAGCATTGGTAATTTTATAGCTATTTCAGGGATGGCAAAAATAAACGAACAAATAAGTAAGACTAAATTAAAGATCGGGGCCATAGAGATCAACCCAAGGACTTGCATGCATGCTTATAAACATAACCAATGGACGCAAAACTCTGATGGGTGGGGTGGGGGGCAATGGTAAGATATGTACACATATAATACCCTAATAAAAAATGAGGGGGAAAAAATAAAGATCAGCTGAAACCGGTTTGGCTCAGTGGATAGAGCGTCGGTCTGTGGACTGGAAGGTCCCAGGTTCGATTCCGCTCAAGGGCATGTACCTTGGTGGCGGGCGCATCCCTGGTGGGGGGTGTGCAGGAGGCAGCTGGTCGGAGTCTCTCTCTTATCGATGTTTCTAACTCTCTATCCGTCTCTCTCCTCTCCCTTCCTCTCTGTAAAAAAAATAAAATAAAAAAAATCAATAAAATATATTTAAAATCTTAAAAAAAAAATAAAGATCGGGGCCATTCGACTGGGTATCATCAGCAATAAAATAGCAGCAATCTCAGCTCCTAGCCCGGAGACCCAGGCCAACCATCTAACAGGCCGCTCCGCATCCCAAGCTGCGGCCCTTCCTGCGGCCCAGAGCAGGGAAGCTGCTGCAGCGCAAGTTGACCAAGTTTTCCGCCGGCCCCGCCGCCCCGCCCCGCGGCCCGGCCGCTCCGGACATTCCTGGGGCGCTGCCCGCCCTGTGTGTTGACATCCCACAGCCCATTTCTCACGCTGCAAGCGGGGCGCAGCCGCACCGGGAAGAGGCACCGGGGAGAGCCCCGCACGCGCACCACGCCCGGTTGACATGTTTTGAAGCCGCAGGCAGGCGGGGAACCGCCCCCGAGCGGCTCCAAGGTCCGGGCGCCGGCCGCGCCCCCGGCCCCGCCCCGCCCCGCCCGGCTCCGCGCGGCTCCGCGCTTCGAAGGGCGGCTCACCCGCGCCCAGGACCCCCGACCCCTGACCCCTGGCCCCCGCGCCGCCAGCCCGCCCCGCCGCCCACCGAGCCGGCAGAACGCCCGGCCCCGCGATGGCCGCGAGCTCCGGCGCTGCTCGCGCCCTTACCTGCTGTCGCGGGCGGCTTCCCCCACGCACCGCCCCGGGCTCCGAGGACGGCGGCGGCCGGGTCCGCGGCTTTCACGTGCGACCACCCGGTCCCCGCGCTTCCGGCTCCCGCCGACGCGGCCCCCCGCGCTCCGCCCGCATCCGAGGCGCTGGTCCCGCGACGGGCGCCAGTGCGGCTCCACCTCTGCGGCTCCGGCTGCCCTGCGAGGAGCTGTCCCCCTCAGCGCCGCGCCGTCCGCGTCCTCCTCCTCCTCCCGGGAGCCCTCGTCGCTCTGAGAGACGTCCCTCGGAGAGCTGTGGCCGCCGCGAACGTCGAGCGCCGCGGCCCAGACCCCGTTTCCAAAATGGCGCCGGGCTCGCGGGCGCGCGCTTTCCCCGGCGCGTCCCCGCGCGAGGGCGGGAGGGGGCCGCTCCCTCGCGCCGCCCGCGCAGCCCGGGCCTTCCGCCTCCCGGCTTTGTTGGGTGAGGCGGTGCGGTCCGCCTCCAGCTTTAGGGGTTTTTCTGTTTGAATCCGTAGCGGGAAGGCTGGAGCTTAAGGGAAAGTGTGTGGCGGAGCGGGAGAGTGTAGAGAGCGGGGCGGAGGGAAGGAAGGAGGGAGGCAGTGTCGGGGCCGCGGGAGCCCAGCAGCCGGTCAGGAAAGAGGCGCCGACAGCTGGCACGCGGGCCACGCCTCCGCGCAGGGCGGGCCCTTTGTCGGGCACGCCTCCGAGCGGGGGGGCGGGGCCTCGGGCGGCCACGCCTGCGCCACAGAGCCCGGAGGTAACCCAGGCTCTGAGAGTACTGTCTGTGTACACAAGGTGTCTTTAAAAACAGCAGGGAGCTATACCAGCAGGTGACAGTGCTAACGCAGGGGTTACAGATGAACTTTAGGTTTAAAATGTTTGTGTTTCCGCTGAAACCGGTTTGGCTCAATGATAGAGCGTCAGCCTGCGGACTGAAATGTCCCAAGTTCGATTCTGGTCCAGGGCACATCCCCAGTGGAGGGTGTGCAAGAATCAGCTGATCGATGATTCTCTTCATCGATGTTTCTAACTATCCCTCTCTTTTACTCTCTGTAAAAAAAAAATTCAAAATATATTTTAAAAAGTCTGTTTTCTAAAAATGAGTTATTCCTTTTAAAAAAACACGCCTCTACTTTTACATAAGGAGGATAGACTCCTGAACGTTGTAAATAGCTTTGTGCAACCTAATGAGGAAAGTGTAAAGGAGTAGTAGTTGGCTATTTAAAAGAAAAACATCTGCTGAAGCTTTTATTTTTCTTGTAAATCCAGGCACCTTTGTAACTGCTACTTACTTGTTTTAACTGTTTGGATTTTGGGGTACTGGGATTTCTGGGAAAAGTTACAATGTCCTTAGGTGCAAAGTCATAACTTGAATCATGCACCATCCTTCCTGCCTCCCTCAAAAATAAGAGTATTTTCCATCTAAAGATGTCTTCTCAATCATTTTATATATATATATATATATATATTTTATTGATTATGTACAGAGAGGAAGGGAGAGAGATAGTTAGAAACATCAATGAGAGAGAGTCATCGATCAGCTGCCTCTTGCACACCCCCTACTGGGGATATGTATGCAACCAAGGTACATGCCCTTGACCGGAATAGAATCTGGGACCCTTCAGTCCCCAAGCCGACGCTCTATCCATTGAGCCAAACCGGTTTCAGCGTCTTCTAATCACACAGCCCAAGGGGCGCTCCACTCTCTCCCACTTCCCCAGAAACACTGAGCTAGGAAGCCCTGTGTAAAATTACATTCCGATTCACTGGGGGACAACGCCAGTGTTTTCTCAGGGGGAGATCTATCTGATCAATAAGTGAAACTGAACAAAGTCCCTGCAACATAAAAATATGATTGCATCTGTTTTTGCAACATTTTTTTAGGTCCCTCAGTGACTGGATGAAGGACAATAGGAAGTTTTAAGACTGGCCATGATAATTAGAGGAAGAAAAAAAAAATCAAATGCAGGCCCATTTATTTAAAGCTAGGTTAACATTATAAATGATCAGCAAAACACGTTAAATCAGCAAACATAAGGAGTATACCGGGTGTCCCTCCAAAATGTATTCACATACTTTAAGGGCTGATATCTCAATTTTGAAAATGAATGTATTTTAATAAACATCACCTTTATAACTATTCAAAGTGTTTGTATACATTTTTTTTTGTAGACACCCTATATATTATGCCATATTAAAACTTTAAACTCCAAGTATAGTCCCTTTTTAATTCATTATAAGTTATCCTCTCCTTAAAGAAGACAAAGATTTTGGCACACCTATCAAATGCTTCCTCCCTATTATTTATAAACTAGAGGCCCAGTGCATGGATTCATGCAGTGGTGGGGGCATGGCCTGTGGGGATTGGCTTGCTGTGGGAGTGCCACTCATCCCGGTAGGCCAAGCAGCTGTGGACCTGCCATCTGAGTGGTGCTCATCTAGTCAGCAGAACGGTGTTCCTACTGAGGGGGTGCACTGACCACCAGGGGGCAGCTTCTGGTGGTCATTCTGGTCATTCCGCCATTCAGTTGCTGGGCTTTTATTTATATAGATGTTCATCTTTTTTTTTTTTTGGAAAAAATTTGTACTTTTTTTAATCAGTAAATACTTATTTACATTTTTCATTTGTGGTGGTGGGGGGAAGAGGGTAGCTACTGAATAGTTTGGTCCAGCAGGGAAAAATATTTTATTACTGACCCTATTTAGTATTGCCAATGCATATGATAATAAAAAGCAAACTGTTTATAGTCAGCTTTCTCTCTTCCTTGGGTGCTTGAATTTGTAACCCAGGAGCTATAGGTAGTCAGTTTCTATCACATCATCTGTTTTTTTTTCACAGAATATTAGCCCAAAGTAATCTAGGGGTTAGACTTGAACAAGACCTGCCTGCAACCCTTTCAGCTTGGCTTGAGACCACTATAGTGCCCTAAATGACAATAAATTACTCTTGCCTTTATACATTTTGGGCAATTAGAAATTGCTTGCAATGTTAAGGCACTGTTACTCACCACAAAGGAAAAAAGTTTGAATAACCTTCTCTTGAAGTATTTTTTTAAAGCATTATTTATTTTACAGTGATGGTTCAAATGCATCTTATTTACACAGAGGGGGCCTTTTGTTGATTACTCTTTGAAAAGTTCTGAAAGGTACTGATTAATAAGGTAGAGGTTGGTCAGTTTCCTAAACACATGTGTCTTTTACTCAGTGTTCAATTAAGATGCCAACATTGTACTTCATTACTACTCTTATTTTCCCCAATAGTTATGCACCTCATGATTGTGCTGTGTAGCTTTCTCTCCTAGGAAAACTGGATGGAGTTTTAGACCTTAAAGATATTTAAATTTTGTTTCTCAAGCAACACTCTACACAAGTTTTATGCTTTATCACTGTATAAAAATGTACAGTGGTTTATTGACATGTACATTCCAATATGTTTACAGCTGCAAGATAATGAGGCACACTCAGTATTGCACTTCATTAAAATTTCAGGCTCAAACGTAACCTAGAAGTTTAAATGAAACTGCATTTGTAATTTAGTAATTATTATAGAGGACAAACATTGATATCTTTATTTACATTGTGATACTTATTACATTTATATGCCATCCTAACACAATTTTTTTTTTTTTAAATAACAGTCTAGGAAATAAACCAGAATATTTTTCTTTTTATCCCCACCCGTGATGCAATTGTACAGGATTACAAAAAGGCAGTATACAATAAACAATGATTATTTTTCTTTTTTGCTTGAAAGCCAGCATCATTCTTAGTCCATGAGCATGGTGATTCTTTCTATATCAATTATCTATAAATGTCCAATGCTTCACAGGCCAATGACGGTAATGGCCACATGCAAACACCTCACGAGTTTGATGTCTTGGCTCAAAAGAAAATAAACCAAACTAATGGGGAAACTCTCCATAGCAAGTATTATGTACATGGTATTTGGCATCCTTCTTGCACTGTGAATGTTCATTTTCATGGATGTAAAAATGGTCCCGTCCTTATCCTGAGCAGTTTAAACTTCACCACATCTGCTTGGGGGATGAAGGCAACTTTTCTATCCACAGACAACGGAATCTGAGCGTTTTAAAAAGTGTGGGCATTTCTGCACACTCCACAACCCAGAGCAAATTCTTCCCCAGTAGGTGGATGAACAACATGGAGTGGACATTCAGTTCCTTCTAATTGTTTGCCTTTGGGACCTGTATAAGTTTTGAAGGAGGCAAAATAATATAATTAAAATATATTCATATAAATATAAATCACTGGTAAGTTATTCAGAGAAATAATGTGACAATGAATATGCAAATATAAAATAACAAAAGTATTTGTTCTCTAACCACAAAAGTAAAAATGTTCCCCATAAAAAACTCAACACACCAGATACATATGTTGAAGAAGGGACATGGTCCTTTAACCACAGCATCCTGCCTAGAGATAAACACTATTGATGAATTTGGTTCATCATTTTAAAGTAAAGAGCAATGAACAAAAATGGTCACAAAAATTCCTCAATTTAGTCTAGTAGGAAATTATTCTGGATGAGAAAATACAGAGATTTTTTTTTATATAAAACTAGAGGCCCAGTACAGGAAATTCGTGTATGTTGGTTGGAGGCATTCCTCAGCCCGGCCCACATCCTCTCAGAATCTTGTTTTCATCCACATATTCATTAAAATTAATGGTTGACAGTGGTTAGAGAATTGACCCTTCTGTATTTCTAAATAAGCTGGACAGCCAGCTTCCCTAATTTCACTGTGAGTTCTCCTTTGATTATCTACAGTTCTCTAAATGAATGGATAAGTGAGCAGAATATGAGAGACAGGAAAAGCATACCTTAATCTAAGGGTATGATCTTAGCCAGGTATTTAACCTGTCTAGGCCTTGATTTCCAATTTGTGAATGTGGAGAATACTACTATCTACTACCTTGTAGGCTGTAAAAATTAGGGGAGAAAATATATGTGAAAATGCCCAGGATCAATGCCAGTTTCTTCCTTCTACCACCTCTCCTGCCTCATTCCTGTGATTCACAATTGTTTACAGGACAAAGTCCCTTTTTGTTGGCTGACCTGGATGATCACGTGCATGTATGACTGGAGGCCTTGCCTTTGCCTGGCCCATCCTCCTCCTC